CAAGCTAATAAATTAATCCAGATAATTAATTGCTACATAATGATAAAATTGTCATGGGTGACCATAAGTTTTCAAGTTCCGGAACAGATTGCTCAGTATCTGCCCAATGCCTGACCTTTCTCGGAGACGACCGCAACCGTTCACTACACTCAAAAGCGTATCAAAGTTATACGGAAACTCGCTTTGATCATACTGGCAAAATCACTTGCGGTCATGTCCGGCAGTGCTCTTCAATTAGTTACAATCAGCAAACTATCTTAGGAAGGTTTAAATGGATAAATTTGTGTCGAGAGCATGGAAACATGGTTATTATAATAATTGATATTGTTTCCATTGATTGTAATCATGAATACTAATTCTGCATGATATCTTAAACCTAAGACGTAATATCACACTTATAAGCAACAAGTGAATAGATATTATGTATACGTTCATATACATATATGGTTACAATTTTTTTTTTTTAATTTTAATTATTTTCAAAAGTAAAACTAGTTGTAGGTGGCTTTTTGTCGTGGCAAGTTGCATGAATTTCCCGACGTGTGTAAATAATTGAAGCTGATCTTTATCGAACTACATCGAATTGTTTTTCAATTTCTAAATCAGTTTTAGCTTTGTTGAAAATGATACTAATACATACATACCTACACATTCTTTTTTAAAAATTTGATCTTATTCGATTCAGAATGTCATCGAGAAAACATAAAATTAGCAAATTGGATTTTCTCGCGAAAACATAAACTTTTCTTTTAGGACTTTAGGACATTTTTTGAAAAAATATCTTTTGTTTATAAAGAATTAAAAAGCTGTGCTAAATTGATAGACAGGGCACAGGGGTTTGTTATGCAAAATGCGAGAGCCGCATTTTGTAGATCTTTTTCAACTCAGAAACTTTTTTGGTTCAGTTTATGGTAAATAATAAATATAACCATTTATAACCCAAGGAAAAATATGTGCGCGTCCTACAGGTTGGAAACCGCGGATTTAAATAATTGTTCTAGTAACAATGTGTCGTTTCTTTAAATTAACAATATTTAAAAATATTAGACATGAAGACTTACAAAAAATTGATGTATGAGTATGTGTGTGTGTGAGCGTATGTTTGGATAGAATTTTTCGTCCACGATATCGGGAGCACGTATTAACCGATTTGAATTATTTAAAAAACATTCTATTTGTATTGACGAAGAAATGTGTTGATTTGTTTTTGGCAAAGGCAGATCCAGCCAGTCCGGTGATACGGAGCAAAAAGCACAAAAACAACCAGTTTTTGAAAGAACGGCGCATCCGATTAGACTGATTTAAAAAGCACATTACTTGTGTGAATGGTGTTTGTTTATTATGTTTTTGTCATTGTAGACAAACATTGATAAAGGTCGTCGTCCAAATGTAAACATTTATATTATTATAGATTTATAAAATACGACGATGAAATTTACAGAACTTATGACAATTATTATAAAAATACTTAAAAGAATTGTTACTTCTCATTAATTGAATTTTATTGATGATTGAGTATTTTTATTATGCAAATGTTTAATTACTGTGTTGGAAGTTCTAGCAATTTGCCTTACAGCACAACGCCATATGCACCAGTGTTCTTGTGATGATTTTATATTCAGAATAGTTTGACACAAAATTGGAGAAGTGGTAATGTTTTTATAATGTCTAAAAAGTCGGTTCCTTCAGAATTCGGTGTTGAAGATTTGATTTATAATTTTTTTTCGAAATCCTAAGTCGATTTTAGAAATTCTAAAATCATTTGAAATGCATATATAGGAAATAACGTTGATTTGTTTTTGCGTACGACTGCACCCGTTTCTTCTTGTAACTGGTGATTTTTTTATTGGTCAATTCGAAAATTTAATAATAATAATTGTTAGATCGCGTTAACATTGATTAGTTTAGGTGGAGATTGTTCAACCTTTTTTTGTAGAATTCATGCATTTTACAAAAAAAGGTTGAGCAATTTCCACCCAAACTAATCAATGTTAACGAGGTCTAACAATTATTAGTACTTAAATTTTCGAAATTGACCAATAAAAAAATTACCAGTTACTTAATTGGTAAATTAAAAAAAAACTGTTTGATAGATATCATTTCTGAATAATCAACTCACTCAGACTTGATATAGTTTATGCATATTGTTTTTTTTTTTTAGACAAAATGCCACTTTTTGTGAAATGAATTCACAAATTTTCAAATATTATATAAAATAAAAAATCTTTTTTTAATTTTTTGTAAACACTACATTTTATGATTCAATCATTTGTATAATCATACTCAATTTTACAACCGCAATAGAAACTTTCTTCGTAATGTCATAGTTTTCCGAAAGCTCGTTATTAAGTAAAATATGCAAGAGTCAAAATGCGGTTTTTATATTGAAGCGTATGTGGAGTGGTCTTCTTTGAATTTTCCCATAGCGCGCTTTAAAAGCTCTGCATGTTGCGGTCTTTGCATTCGGTATGGCTATTAATCTGCATAAAGCTCTCACGATTTTATAACCATATGCAGTTTAATTTGAGTTTTGCATTTACTATGTTTCTATCTCACCCAGTTATATGCAACAGATCTTACTTCGACAACGATGATTTGTATTTGTAATTAAACTGACTCGTTGAATGAATTTCAGCGATACTCTCGAATCAGGCTGAATGTATTACTTATATGAAGTTTGAAATTCTAACACTCTGCTTCTAAATTTTATACGTCGATTTTTCAAATCTATGAACGTTGTTGCAATTTTGTCATCGGTATCATATTAAAGCTGTAAAGGAGTTTTTTGCGAAAACTGCATTTTTTTTATAAAGTTACACATTCGTTGATTAAGCTCTATAGAACAAAATTTATGCATTAATATTATGGAATTGAGTAATTGATTCATTATGTAACATTATGTAACGTCGTAATCTTTAAAATTCTCCATGACTTAAAAACTAAAAAAAAAAGTAAAATACACTTTAAAGTCTTCAAAGTTTTGATGCAATAGTAATGGTAATAATCTGTCTAAAACTGTTACAGTTTTTTATTGATAAGCAGTTCAATTTTTGCTGTTTTTTGCATTTTTATTTTTCTGATAATGAGTTTAATGGAGTAGAATTTAAACTGCCATATTAAAATACAATAATTCCTGCGTTATTCACAAAGCATGAACCTAATAAAAGTTATAACAGAATTAATTATATGTAGCGCGGTAGCTTTGAAAACATGTTGCTTCATATGGTATTATATGTTCTATATTTGAACTATTCTCTGAAACCATTGTATAGGAGAAAGGCAACCGAATTTTTTTAATCATTTAAAAATGTTAAATTCTTCTCAAAGGCAAATATGTTAAAAATACAAATTTGTATAATTATTAACTTCCCGAAGAAGTTTGTTTCAAAAAATCCAATTCGCTAATTTTATGTTTTGTCGACGTTCCAAGCCATTCTGAATCGAATGAGATCACATTTGGAAAAAGTATGTGTGTGTGTGTGAACAGATTTTTTACCGTAAATCGACGGGCCGTTTTCTTGTAAAAAAGTGTTAAACTAAATTTTTTCGACGATTTTTATGATTTTTTTTGGCGGTAGATAGATAATTATAGATCATACTAAAATATTACGGCCCTACGACAATTCTTTTAACTTTAAAAATTCGTCAAAGTTTGCAAAAATTAGTACTAATTTTACGATAGGTGTCGTCGTACTAATTTTAGATACGTATCGTTTTTTGGCATTTATCAAAATCAGACTTTTGATCGACGTTTTCTCAAAAACGTCTGAGGACTATCGTTTGTCAGTTTTGTGCGACGATCTGCCGAGCCGTTTCTTTGTAATTTGAAAAAAGTGCTAAACTTTTCGTCCACATTTAAGCTCAAACTACCGAATCGATTTTAAAAAATCAAAAACTGTTCGAAAGATATTAGTTGGGAATGATACTGATTAGTTTTAGGTGAAAATATACCAAGACGTTCTCTTGTAATTAACTGTTGTAAAAAGTATTTAAATCGTTTTTTATGGAACTTTTTTTGGCAATATATATTATATTCCTATAGAACTTACTGAAATATTAGGGCATTACGATAAGTAGTTTAATTTTAAGAGTTTATCAAAGTTTGAAAAAATGAGTAAAAATGGACGGCTAACTTAGTAAATCGGTTTTAATGAACATACTAAACCATTAAAGTCCTGCGGCAACTGGTTCAATTATAAAAATTATTGATTTTTGAAAATTTGCTTTTAGAAAATACTCCGAGTAAGAAACGTTTTTGTTCGTTTTCAATTATGTCATCACTCATAAATTAATTTATTTTTGAGTGATAAGTCGATTATTTACACATATAGGGAAGTTCATGTAACTTGCCCCAAGGGATCGTTCAAGTATTACGTAAGCATATTCATTACAATTATTTACCCCCCCATCCTCCTTGTCAGCAAAAGTAAGCAAAGCTCTTACCCCCTACCCCCATGCTTACGTAAACATTTTGCAATTAACGTAAAAAAATAAAAATACTACTTATGACGTAATCATCATCCAGACTCCCCTGCCCCCCATGTCAACCCAAAATAAGCAACTCAATAACCACCCGCCCCCCTATAGTGCTTACGTAATACTTGAACGGCCCCCAAGGCAAAATACTAATACCAACTAGTTATTGTATGATACATCAAGACTCAGTTCATCAGTTGATGAATATTGATAAAGTCAAAATCTTTGAATTATACTTGATGTATCATACTTGGTATGGAATACTAATACGGAAAAGCTCTATAACGCAGGTCTAAAAAAGTACTATGACAATAATTACATTTTCTTCCGATAATTAAGTATTTGCCACGAATTTGAAGGGGGAGATCAATCTTGGATTTCAATTTTTCATCAAATCAAAATATATTATGTACAGTATACGAATTTTTGCACAACTTTCATTTTCCAATTAAAAATGTATATTTGAAAAATGTATTTTGTGCTTTTTTCTTTGCTGAAACTAATCATGTCCATTATTTCTACAGAGAAGAAGTTCGGGAGCATAGTGTTCGATGGGGTACCAGTTTCCAATTCGTCTGCAAAATGTCAGCGCCCGCGTCAACTGGTGTCCTTGATCCTTGTGTTCTACGGGTCTCAGTTCGAAAAGAATTGAAAGGAGGAAGGAGCTACAGGAAGCTCGGCTTCTGTGATCTCAATTTGGCAGAGTTTGCCGCTGCCGGCGTCGCCACCGCAAGGAGGTGTCTGCTGGAAGGATATGACCAAAGGCATAGGCAAGATAATAGCATGTTAAGGGTCGCCATCAAGATGTCGATGCTCAGTGGCGATATTTTATTCAAAGTGTAAGTTGGTTAGAATTTTAATTATTATCTCGTTTCAAATTGCATTATATTTATCAATCTAAAATTAATATGAAATATATACCAACTGTTAATCAGATAATAGGGGAGACTAGATGCGGTTGTGCCCCTTTTTTGATTAGCAATAATTTTATTAATATACATGTGAGAAACGTAAATTAAATAATAAATTGAACATTCGTCTAGTGGCGATATAAGAATTTCAATTGTAAGATGTATGTAAAAAAATGATTAAAATGTATAAGGTATTAGAATGTATAGAAATTGAATTAGAATTGAAATTACAAATGAAATAGTAGAAAGAAGTAAGAAGATAAAAAAGGGAAGAATGAATATAACTTGAGCTATGTAGAAGAAATAGGATTTATTTGAAGAAGATAAGTTGATAGATAGTATAAGCAGAATAGAATCTATATATAGATTGAATATGATATAAAATTAGTATAGAATGTAAATAAATGTTGTAGGTGGCTAAATGCTCAGAGTAAGCGAAGCCAAATAAACAAAAAAAAACATTCGTCTACGAGCAAATATTGAAATATTTTTCTTAAATGCCATGGAGTTGTCATAAAAACAAATCATACAAGAAAACTCTTAAATTGCGAGCGTCACAACCGTCCACACCTGAGGGACGGTTATTCGTTGAATATAAATAATTTATGATCAATAAAAATTGATTAATAATCAATAACAATTGTTTTGAATATTTCTAAATAGATTAAATTTTATCATTCGTATTTTATAGACTATAGATTTTGCATATAAAATACTAATGATAAGCTTCATTTCTATTTTTTACACAATAGCTCCGTATTTTTGAAAGGGCTGAATCTTTGCCAAAAACTAATCAGCACATTTCCTCATCAATAGAAATCGAATGTTTTTTGAATCATTCAAATCGGTTGACAGTGCTCTTGAAATCATGGTCGAAAAATTGTATCCGAACGTGCATACATACATCCGTGCCAAAAAATTTAAGCCGATTTTTATGGAACTTTTTTTGGCTATATATCATGGTCTTATAGAACTTACTGAAATATTATGATCTTACGACAAGTAGTTTAATTTTAAAAATTTATCAAAGTTTGAGAAAATTGGTATTTTTTTGACGTTTGTTGAAATTAAAATTAGACGATTTACTTGGTATAACATTAGAGTACTTGGTCTTAATGAACATACTAAATCATTAAAGTCCTACGGAAACTTGTTCAATTATAAAAATTATTGATTTTTGAAAATTTGCTTTTAGAAAATACTCCGAATTAATTTGATCGTTCGTTCTCAATTGTGTACTCATAAATTAATTTATTTTTTTATTGATTAAGTCGATTATTTACACATATCGAAAAGTTCATATAACTTGCCTCAAGGCAAAATACCAATACCAAATACTTTTTTTTATTGCTTTTTGAATCAGATATTTAATACGTAGTTGGTTGATTAAAATTTTGGAGTAATTATTGTATTCAAAAGCGGTATTATATATACGAAAAAAATTCTAAAAATAATAAACATCTTCTAATAGTGAATGTGTACGTAAAATGTGTAGAAATAATGGAAAATATTTTTATTGGTATAGGTGTATTCTATTTTTGTATCGTAATTCTTTTTGTATGGTGTTTGATTATTGATGTAAATTTCAGGCCAACGCCTTCATTAAAGCACAGCAGGCCGCCTTCACAAGACGACATAAGTGTTTCCAGTGAATTAGAATCCAGGGCGCGCGACGATTGTAGCAACGCTTCCGGATCATCCGGATTCGGGTCTTTGCCAAAGAAAAGGCCGGCGCTACTCGGATCAGGTGAGATAATTCAATTGGGTTTTGTTTGCATATTCAACACTCTCAGCTATTAATATTAAGTGTATTTTAATCACTAATTGTCATATACAGGGTGTGCCAGAACTCAACGTCAATCCGAAATGGAGTGATGGTATTAATCGTAACTGTCAAAAACTTTACAAAAAAAAATTCACGTTTGAAATTATCTGCTTTTAAGTGCAACTTTTTCGTATTTTATAATGCGTAAATTGACCGGTCTATAAAACACTTGTGATAATTTTATACTAGTAAAAAAATAGTTAAAAAAGCCGAAAAAGTTTCATAAATTCTGACCCACTTAAATGTTTTTCTTTTGTATAAGCTTTCGGTAGTTTTCTAATTTTACTGTTAATTTGTGATTGATATTAAGTGAATATGTTTTCTATGACTGAGCAGATACTGACGTCACTTGCTAAAATTATCTCAAATAAGTAAAATTAATAAAATAATCAATAATCTTGTACCACTTTAGTTTAGTTTAGTTAATTTGGAATAGGGTTTGTCGGTTTTCAAAAACCGGTTTTAAAAACCGGTTTTTTGGCGAAAATTATGGAATTCGAAAACCGGTTTTATAGTGAAAAAAATTGGTTTTTACTGTATAAATGAAAAATGACAAATATAGCCAAATATAAAAGATAGATGAAAGCGTTTTGATTCTTGAAATATTATTAGATATTAACAAGTATGTATCAATATGTATCTACTATTTTTTTATTTTTTTTATTTAATGAATTTTTTTTAATTTAAAAATGTATTGTATTTATTTATTCGAAAACTTTCCTTTCACTATCATAAAAATATTTTCATTCTTATATATGAAAATGTTGCATGAATAACGAATAATTATTTTCAAAGTTATTGAATCAAGATAAACTGTTATTTTTTAGTTCTACTAATTAAAATTAAAATAATTTTGTTTACTATTTATAAAATTGAACAATAAATAAATTCAGTTAAATACTATTCTAAATTGCATTTTGCGTATAAATTACAGAATATTCGAGCAAAAATTTATTTTCTATATTAAATTCGAAAACCGGTTAAAACCGTTTTTTTTTTTTAAATTTGAAAACCGGTTTTCTGAAATGCCGGTTTTTGTATAAACCCTAGTTTGGAACAAAAGTCAGATAGAGAATACCATTTTTATTATAATAAATATACAAATCTATCTGCATTAAAACATATCGCGTGCGAGTTTGCTATCTATTTGTACTTGTTTATTTAGGGAAATATTTGTCCTTATAGTTGCATTAAGAATTTATTAAACTAACCGATAAATAAACCTAATGTCATCTTACTATATTATAGTGAATTTATTCATTAAAATAAAAATGTATATAAAATGTATTCAAATTATATTCCATTACAAATGCCGACTTGATCATCACCTTCTGTTTTTTAACTTCCCGTAGGGTAAGTTATAGTAATCGCAAAAAAATCGAAAATGAAAATTTTTATATATCTTTACGTTTCAAAGGTTTCTGAACATTTTGGCATACCTTAGAAAAAATGGATGTATGTGTGTATGTGTGTGTGTGTGTATGTATGTATGTATGTACGTGTGTGTATGTATGTGCGGAAAAAACATTCGATTCGTATTGATAAGTAGACGTGCTGATTACTTTTTGGCGAAGGCAGGTCCAGCCGTTCCAAAGATACGGGGCAAAAAGTGCCGAAAACGGTAACTCAGTTTTTAAGAGAACGGAGCGTCCGATTTTAATAATTCAAAAAACATTTGACTTGTATTGACAAGATGAAGAATTGATCAAATTTTCATGAGGGCAGGTCTGGCGGTTTCGGAGATCTAACGAAAAAAGTAAAAAAAATGCCATTTGGCGGTCAGAAATGATCATTAGACATATGCACATCAAATTATCAGATATTTTATAGAGATTTTAACAATAAGTATAACTTTTGTTTGCATTCCTATGGGTTCCGTACCAATATTTATTCGTTAGACGGCGACGCGGCTCTTACGCGCTTTGACATTTTGTCTCTATGCAGTTAAAGCAGTACGATTGTTTTGAAAAAAGATCTTCCAAAATATGCCAAAATAAAGAAAACATTATTTTTTCCAAAAAAAATTAAAAAAAAAAAAAAGAAATTAGATTTTTTTTTGAAAAAAAATGAAAATTTTTTGTTTAATTTATAGTTTCTCAAAAATCTTATTTTTTTGAAGTAAATTTGTTTTAAAAATGTCAATCGTTTTTAAAAAAATAATAATTTTTGGTACGGGAAGTTCCAGCAATTTGTCTTAAGGCACGATGCCTTAATTGCCTTAAGACAGAATTCCACTTACAGCTAGTTACAGGTTTCGATTCTGATAACATGTATAAAATGTCTGCGTTTTCTTTGTTCTTTGATTTAGTAAATTTAATCATTAAAACGTTTTATTTTTATTCAGTAAATTTATTTATTAAAACGTATAAATATATAAAACATATCCAAATTATAGATGAGCCATATTATAGGTGGTTATAGTGTGTATCGCAAACATATATGCCTAATTTTTTTCAGAACTTTTAAATCACAATCACCACCACTCATCATCCCAACAAGACCACGACGCGATATCGGACGTGACGTTGTCGGATTTAACGTCAAGTTGCTGTGCGTCTGAATCTGATGGTCCTCCTCACCATGCAGCAGGAACAACTTTACTTAGTCAGTCCAATGGTAGTTTGCAGCATCAGCAGCAGCAGCAAAACAACTGTCATGTTCAAAGTCATAGTAGGAATTCATCTAATACCAGCCAATTGTCGAAAGGATCGGGGTGAGTTGATAATAGAAACATTGAATTATCAAAAATTCACGACTTAATGAGCTGCTAATTTTTTATTTTTCAAAAATATTTGGCAACTATTTGGTGAATTTATTTGAAACTATTTTTGTTCTATTAAAAGGGTAGTTGCAAGATAATCTTACATTATAAGACTGCATAATAAAATAAGTTAAGTAGCGGTAACCCTTGACTTATTTTGTTTTCCCGCGGTAAGTGTCTTTAGGTAAAAGAGCAAGCTATTAGTGCCATTAGAGCATTACAGTATTTTATTTGTAACAAATATTTGATAAAAAAATAAACTGATAAAATCACACGCACTATTATTCAAACGTTCGAAATCGCTTGAAATCACAATTAGACACGTTCGGATTTATACTATGGAATAAAAGTTTACGATTTTAAATGGTAATGGCCAATTAACCGATTTACTTCCTGTATTACTATAAGTTATAATTTCAATTCTTAAGCACGTATTTTGGTATGAACAGTTTGAGACGTGCTATCTTTATAATTAATGGTTTTAGTTAATAAAATAATAATCTTTAAATGTAAATAACAGGCTGTGATTTCTCAATGTTATATTAATGTTATAAATGCTATATTAAAGTTTGATTATTGGGGGTGAAATACTGCGCTTAAATTTTTAGTGCATTTTTATTATAATGCTATATTTATATTAACAATCGTGGCAAACATGCTTGAAGAATAATCGGAAGCAATAAGGTAGCCGTTTACATAATTCAAATATATATATTTATTCAAATATGTTACTAGTTTTATATAGACTAATTGTAAGTAAATTTCAATATTTCATAGTTTTAGAAGCTAATCTTTTTTTTTATATAAAATTCTCATGTCGTGTTGTTAAATTCAACATAATTGATATTAAAGTTTGAATGCTATAGCATTCATGTCTGCGAACGTGTTAAGATTTTTTTAATTTTTTGGACACTTTTAATTTATTTTTTATAGTTCATACATACAGGCCTAATTTTTCACCTTCTTATTACAAGCCCCTATTTCACAATAGTCCATTTTAGTAATTGAATAATTTTTCATCCCTCTTTTAATCAATGAATGTTTTTCACCGAATTTCGATTAAGATTTTCTTGAACTAAAAACGTTAAATTTAACTTTAAAAATCTTATTTAATATTATAAGTCAAGGTTTGTCCATCTCTAACTATTTTTTTTTCAAATTATAGGGCTAATTTTCTTTATTGTAAATTTGTATAATGTTGAATTGAAAAATATAGACAACTCTAAATCTTCACCCTCCAACCACAAACTTCTATTTCATAAAGAAGATTTCAGTGATCGAATCATTTTTCTCCCTGCTTTTAGACAATGGAGGTTTTTCAATGAATTTTATTAAGAATTTCTTGAACTCATAGGAAAGCTTAATTAAACAAAACAAGCCATAGCAGTTTATTCGAAATATTTTTTCTTTTCAAATATAGATATTTGACAATTTTTATACTTATATTGTTTGTTCCAGGTATAGTAGTTTTTCACAAAGCCAACACAGCCGACAAAGCAGTGAAGGCGATTCAGGACACACCAGGTATTTATTATTATTTTTGATAAACAATTGTTTAAAATATAATATATATATAATAATCAACTAACTGATGACAAATATAAAACTTAAAAAATAAATCTACCGGAATTCTCTACGTCCTCAACGACATTTTATACATATAAAACATATCCGAAACTTACAACAAATATAAACGAGATATTTGTATATACTTTGGGGGCTTCATATGTTATGGTGAATAACATAATTCAGAAATCGGTGAATGATTTGGTATGCTTGTGGATTTGTACTACAGATTTATTTCTTTACTTTCTATTTTTAGTTAAAGGTATATTTTCCAAATGCTTAGGTTTTGGTATAATACGAATTTTGACTACATTTTGTTAAAATATATTTCAATTGAAAATTATGTGTGTTTTAAAGATACAAATATAATTTAATCTCTTTAGTTTAGAGTGCATAGTGAAATATAGTTTATCATTAGCACTAAAATCACAATGATATATTCAATATAATCGATTTTTTATTTATCTCATATAAAGTATGTTAAATAATTATTTACACATTCATCCATGTAAATGTGCAGAAAACAGAATCGAACGAAATTATTGATTGGTACCTTTTTCATTCGTAGATAGAATTTTTCATTAGTTGCAAAAGTTTGAAATGAATACATTTAAAATAAATAAACAAAATAATTTATAAGTGATAAATTTATTCGCAAGCGTTAAGTGCTTAGCAGTTTTGGCGCATGAAGCGTTATAAATGTAGCATATTGATGTTTTGCACCTGTGTTTTCTCTTAAAACTGTCACTATATTTTTTTCTGAATGCAGCATACTAGAGTAATATTGATATTATTTGTTTGAAATTAAGTTAATTCAAATTATTGCAAAACGGCATGTTTGTATTGTAAATGTTAGTTATTAATTTTTTGTTTACAACTTCTTTTTACAAAAATATTTATTTTTATGAAGGGATTTAAAAATAGCGAAAATATCATCCAATTATTTAAGGTCCAAGTTTCCAGCGGCTGTGCCGCTTGTGAAATCTTCGCAGAATAAAATCTACGGAATACCATTTCCAACAACAAACAATCCAAATAACTATCACACGCGCCCTTCCGCGCTAAACAATAGTGTTTGTTCAAATACAAGCGACGTGACTATCTACGGAACTCCTAACGCATCGGTTCAAAGTGAAGATTTAGACACATCATCCAACGATGAGGTGTTTGCGACCCCTGAAATTCGAGATCCAGGTGATCAAGATTCAAAAGTTGACGGTTATGGTTTTGATAGCTACAGGCCAATAGGACCGAGACAAAGTTCAATGAGCTCGATTCCTGACAGAGTGTACAAATTAAACGGCCATCCTTTCCTAACTCCTTTGGCTAGTAGGAAAACTGTCAGTGTAAAGTTAGGAGAAAATAGAAGCACAGCATTTTCAAGAGATATTCTGGACGGCGAAGAAATCTTCAAAGCTCCCGAAGTACCTCCGCCTCAGAGAAGTAGTAAAGCTAGGCGGTCAGTGAGGCATGAACCTCTTATGCCCAGACCTGTGGATCAGCAAAGGGCAAATTCTATGGTTTCGCTCCAACCGGGGCATGTACACAGGTATATTAACGACAAAAATGGATTGAGAATTCGAAACATTAGTACTGAAAAAAATGTTTGTGCATCTTACAAAAAGCGGTGGATTTTCTGCTTGGATTGTGTATTTGGGGGTTAATAGTAACTGCTCGTTATTGTATTTTGGTGTTTTGCATTGATATTTGGCTTTCGCACGTGCTTCGCTTTATTATATAAAACAATTTTAACAATGACTATACTCAAAACATCAAATTTCAAAATCCTTAAGATATTGATAAATCTAAATTGATACAGTTTCATATGCTTTATATAAATTTGATTTATATTTGAATCAGCAAGGAAATATATATGCTCCCGATATTCATATGAATTTAGATTGAATATTTCTTTGAGTTTCATAGTCTAGATTCCGAATCATATACTGTTGCCACCGTCTAGTCTATGATTTTGTAAATTTGATGGTTATCAGTATAGTCGTTTTGGAGAATCACCAAAAATAATTTTGCATTATTTAGTGAGTTATTTATATCAGGATCTTATTAGGTTTTATGAATATGAGTCTGAACGTAGGGAATTTTTGTATTGAGTAAATGAAATTTAATTAAAATTTCTAATTCAACGATGTCAATAATTTTATCGTATCTTAATCAAATATAAAAAATTGACTTATATTTAACAAAACGGGTTTCTATGAGTTGAGTATTTATTTTTTGGAATAATTCATGATATTTTGTTGTATTTTTAATAATTTTTTTGTTTATGATTTGTGTCTTTCTCGATCTTTCTTTAAATCTTGAATGTAAAAATTAATAAAATAATAAATGGTGTTACTAGAAATGGGTGTTGCTAGAATTGCAGAAAGAAATAAAATTTTAAAACTCATATACAATCGTCGAAAACGTTTCATTATTCACAAGTGTAGCAAATGACCAAACGAACTAAAAATAATAGAAAAATTGCCGTTTTCTTCTCGCTACTGTATTACTTTTGAGAATATATTTTGTTTGTATAGTGTAGATTGTTGAACATTCTAAAATTGGCACAATGGCCAAATAATCTGAATTTAGGGTAATTCTCGAATATAGTTATACGTAGTATTTTATTTCGTAAGAGCTCATAATTTTTATACCTATTGTTAGTAAGTAATAATTATCTGTAGTTATAATTCACTGTATTATTTATAACGATCTAAAGATATAATCTATCAGTTTTTCATAGTTTGTAAGTTCATAATATCAAAATATAGAACTCAATATTTGGTCGTAGTGCTATGCTAAATATCTAGATGTCAGTTAACTTATTCTCATGACATTTCTGAGGGTATTTGAATTGGCTTTGGTGTCCATTAATCTGACACTGACATTCAGAAATGCGGTATTCACACTGCGATTTGAAGGGGTTGAAAATGTTATCTGAGGAGTATTTGCATAACTTTAGAATCGATTTTAGTCAAAATTGAGTAGTTTAAAATGTATTTATCATATTGTACTTTTTAAGTTTTTGTCAATTTGTTATTTTATCATAAGCTATATATATATTTATTTATATTTCATCGAAACTATATTTAAAGTGATTGGAAAAAATTTACAAAATGGTATATGGACAAATTGATACAGTGGCATCATTTCAAAACTGGTTGGTTTTACAAACGTTTCCGTAATAGTGTAAGATGTTGAGCATTATTGTCACAGTGTTGTCGAAGTAATTAGTTTGAAAGTGTTTCGCGCTAAAAGTTTATTTTGGGGGTGGTTTTTTCATATTTTTTGAGGCCGTACGTATTGTTATTTGTAATTATTTCTGTTAAGATCTATAAACTTCTGATAGTGAATTTGGTCAATTTTATTGCAATAATCAGGTGTTTTATAAAAATTCAATGATTTATTCATTTTTGTTCACCCTCTGACATACTTATACAATCTACAAAAAGACATAGTACTATTTTGTAACCACTACAACTACAATAAAGTCACTTTATTTGTAACCACTACAGTCTTTAAAGCAGTTTCATTCGACGCCAAGAAGAAAGTTGAAATCTGTCAAAGATAATTGCATTTTAACTTCTGCTCTAAACTACTTCTTAAAACAAACCAAAGGATCCACTGGTTAAAAGAAGAGACTTGCATTTATTGCAAAGACCTATTTTCACGTCCTAAGCCCAAAAGGATTCATGTTAAAATACGTTATTTTAGATCCTACTTATTTAAAATACCTTATTGTTACTGGTAGTCAATGAAACCCAAATATGAGTAAAAACGATTGAGACTGGTTATAATATTATTAAATAAATAGATATTATTAAAAATAAAAACCATATCATTTTGCCTATATTTTTTCTACATTTAGTATGTGAAATTCTCATAAATATGAAGAAAAGTTTTTAATTTTTATTCGTTTCGTTTCTATTGGAACAAGTAAACAATAACTAAATAACACTTATATTATTGTTAAGCGAAATAATTTTACGATTCTTCATTCTTGAATGACGCTTGAAAACTTTTGTTGTCATTTTACTTTTATTAACACTGCACCAATATTTGCAGCTTATAGAAAATGTCGCACATATAGATAGATGATTAGTAGGTTTTTAAGCTTTCAACAAATAAATCTATTCTAACATTTTAAACTATCCACTTGCCTACTTTTGATTCATATATCATTAACTAACAAAATTCAAGAAGTTTGTATAACTCAATAACATTTTCTTTCACATATTTTTTGCTTTCTTGCGTTTACTTTAGATTATATTTTTGTGATTTTATTTGTTTTATTTTTGTTTGAGTTTCATTTCGTTTGAGTGTTTGCGAGCTTTTGTATTACATTCGAACATATTATTGAAGTGATTCAATCAATAAATGGGGAAAGAGTTGTTTGTCAGGATCCGTGTCGCCTGTTGTACTATAAATATATTATGCATTGTCACATATGTGAGTCTGAGTGAGTAAATACGTAACGAAAAGGGTTTGAAACGAGTTTGCACCTTTTTTTAAGGAGCTCTTTAACCAAAATGCTTCTGGCAACGCAAATTTATTTGCAAATTTATTCATGCGTTTCATTCTGTGTGTTGTAAATGGACTGTAAATGTAGGTAGGGACATTTGTGTGCAACGTTAAACTTGACATGTTTGTCTTGAATTCTAAAACGCTTTAAGGTCGAAAAATATATAGTCGTTTTGGGACATATGACCTTTTGCCGTCGTGTTTTTATTTGAATTTTAATATGTAAGTATTAATGGAAATTATTGTCGCACGAAAAATGCGTCTTTGTGCTTTTATGATACAAGAAATCACTCTCTACTATAAGAAGATATATTACTATAACTATATTATATAACTTTTTATTATGGAATTGAGAGAATGGGTACATTGGCAATTTTAATAACCACTTACGAATAATTATTATTGAGTAAAATTATTATTTGATATAACATATATATATATATATATATATATATATATATATATATATATATATATATTATATATATATAATATAATATATATATATATATATATATATATATATATATTTAAAGATATATATATATATATATATATATATATATTTAAAGATATATATATTATATATATATATATATATATATATATATATATATATATCTTTAAAAGCTTACACGCGCGAAAGTGTAAACATTAAAAAATATAAATAAAATAGTAAATTAAGTTAAAAAAGCAATTTTACAAAGATAATTGAATAAATAGTTATTATCTCTGCTGATGAATATTTTTGACGAAATACCAGATCTAGGTTATACACAGTGTTATCTCTATAACAATGTACTCATGAAGAAATTTATATTTTGCAGTGGTTGAACAGTAGCTATTATTTCGTAAAATTCCTTTAAAATTAAAAATAAAACATTGGATCTGTCTGCCCCTTGGCCGTCCAAGTTTATCATGTCTATTGGGTAAAAAGAATTAAGTGGCAAATTTTTGAAAAACGGCAGAAATAACACATTTGAACGATGATGAATTTTACTGAAGAAAGTCAGATAGTTGTTTGATGTGTTATTTGTTCTGATGTACTTGGTTTGGTTTTCACAGTATAATTGCTCAAAGTCAAACTGGACTTTTGTGTCCCGCCATGTTGTAAAAAACTTAAAGGGAAGACTAAAATGAAATATTTTTAAATTTAAAAAATGTATTTGTTTCATTTCAATTAGGAAAATTGTATGTTTATGAATATAAAAACTTCATACTTATAACATCTACTTGATACATGGAACATTCCTGACTCTATGAAGCATTAATTTTTATAAAAAAAATAAATAACTTTTTCTATTAGAATAACTTATTCTATTAGAACAGTGGTTCCCAACCTAACTCAAGATTATTCAAAGTTTTATGCGATGTAATTGGAGCTACATTAAATGCTCTTTTGTACCATACAGACAGGGTCGGTCCTAGGGTCTTTAGCGCCCGCATGTAACTTTTTTTTGAACAGTTTATCATTAACATTATGTAAATATTTACAAATTTTTTAACAATTAATTTTTAATTATTCTGAATTTAGTATACAAAAAATTAGATATAATCTAAAAGCGTATAACATACATTGATTTTAAATTTATTTAGTAAATCGAGGAATTTGCAAACATTTGCAACAAAAACAAAAGTTACAATTCAATTTTTTGGAATAAACATGTCATTTTCTAAGCATGACTCCCCATTTTTTATTTTCCTGATTATAATTTGTTTAAACTAAATCAGCTTGCAATTTTTTGTCAATAATGCCCAATAATTAATTTAATATTTCGCAGGTTTGCGCTTATGGGATTGAACACTAGATAATTTTCTTTTCGATTTCACGGTAACTTCAAACAAAGAAAAATTTGAATAAGCAGATTAAGCAATAAACAGTGTTGTTATTTACTAATTTGCAGAGTTATTAATCGGTTATTTGTTTCTACTGATATCACATTGCAAAATAAATACGCTTTTTGTGTCTTTAGTTGAGTTACATTGTTTATTATAATTTATTAAATATTCTAGATTTTATATAAATAATAAAAATATTATAACATATTATAAATTTAATTTTCAAAACTCGTTTTGGCGCCCCCTAAGGCGCGCGTACAGACGTACGTTGGTTGTCAAGAGGCATGGTTGTAAGTAGGGTTTACGAATTACGAGAAGAAATTGGATTGTTTCTTGAAAATCACAGAACACAAAAAGAAAAAGAATATATTGCCAAAATTAAAGACTAAACATTTGTTCTATAAATGGAGTTGGATAATAAACATATTTTTGTTCAAATTTGTGTGGTTTTAATTATTTTAAATTAGCTAGGGGTAAACTTAATTCCCATACTTGTTCACAGGGGTAGTGACATTGAAAAGGTTGGGAACCACTGTATTAGAATAACTTATTCTATTAGAATAACTTATTCTCTTTGAGTATGATCAACCTAATCATATATCCTTTATTTTTACTGTATGTTAGACAAGTATGCTTATTCATTACCATTTGTAATCCATTACCATTCACTACTAAACCTAACCCGCATACCCCACAGTCTACCGCATTCGCTTCGCGCCCTCTCGCGTCGCACGCAGGAGGCGACCGCGCGACTCTCGCCCGTTGCGACCAGCCCTTCCGACGAGGCTGGTCCGGACGGGGATCTGCCGCAGCATCAGCAGCTGCACATCGAGCAGTTCCTCGAACTGCCGCAGGCGGCATCGCAGTCGGCATCGCGACGCGCCAGCCCGGGCACCGCGCCCCGTACTCCCCTATCCGGGTACTAAATGCTTTCTAATATGATACTAGTACTCTCTAAGTATGGAAGAAAGAATAACTATGATTGTATTTTGGAGTGATTTTGATTCAAATTGATATTTTGACTTTTGAAATGATAATATAAATCATGATATTTGGAAATAAATATGTAGCTTTAAAATATTTTAGTGCAAATACATATAATATTTTTTTCTAATATATGAAATCTTTCTATCTTTGTCCAACATAGTATATCTTTGGAAATTACTTAGTGTAAAATTAATCTGTGTAAAATTGTTCTACATAAAGTATCACACATTAATTTTTCTATTTCATATTTAGAGAGTGTTGGTATTTTTCATATATCTATGCATTATTATGTCAATAATAATATTTGTTGTATGATTAGTCACAGCATGCCTGTTATTATTACAAAAGTATATATTCGTAAATTGCATATATATTTATTGGTCTTAGATATTACAGTATGATCTGCATGCAAAATTAATATGATATTGTAGACTCTGTGAACGAATTTGACTTTGAATAATAATTGAACTTGATACTTATATAATCAACAAGTAAATATTGTAATAGTACTTAATTCAAAATCAGAGCATTAACAAAAAATTAGATTGAAATGAAACAACAAAATATAAATATTTATGTGCTAATCTGTAATTTCATTGTCATATTTGAATTTTAGTTAACATTTGATCTACGTTTTTAAATACTTATATTATCAGTTCTAGATGTCACATTGTATGTATAGCTTGAACCTACTGTGCATCCGCCCTCTAGTTTATACTTTCTTGCATTGACTTTTATTTAAAATCAGCAAAAACTAGGTTTATTCAAATGTGAAGTGTGTAAATCATAGGGAAAAAAATAAAGTTCTGAATTATTCACAACTAGCTGTAAGTGGAATTCTGTCTTAAGGCAATTAAGGCATCGTGCCTTAAGGCAAATTGCTGGAACTTCCCGTACCAAAAATTATTATTTTTTTAAAAACGATTAACATTTTTGAAAAAAATTTGCTTCGAAAAAATTAGATTTTTGAAAAACTATAAATTTGACAAAAAATTACTTTTTTTTGAAAAAAAAAATTTTTTTTTGATAACGAAATTTTTTTGAAAATAAAAATGTTTTCTTCATTTTGACATATTTTGAAAATTCTGAACTTTTTTCAAAGCAATCGTACTGCTTGAACTGCATGGAGACGAAATGTCAAAACGCGCAAGTGCCGCGCCGCCTAAGCATTGGTATGGAAATCATAGAAATGTAAAAAAAAAAATTATACTTATTGTTGAAATCTTTATAAAATCATCTCCTTATCAATACGAATCGAATGTTTGTGGAATTATTCAAATCGGTTGATCCGTGTTCCCGAAGTCGTCGACGAAAATTTGTATCCGCAAATACATACACACACACACATACATCCATTTTTTCTAAGGTATGCCAAAATGTTCAGAAGGTTTTGAAATGTAAAGATATATAAAAATTTTCATTTTCGATTTTTTTGCGATTACTATAACTTGCCCTACGGGAAGTTAAAAATTTAACTAGAACTTGATGTTTGACTCCAAGAGTTCTTCTAGTGCTTATAGAGCAAGTGAAATCTTTTTCATACGTTTAATAGCCTTAGCAGTTTATTCTACAACATTTCATATCACTGATGAACTTTAACCTAATATTATTAAATATTTGGAATTGGTTTTTAATAATAATTCTTGACAAACTTCTGATGATTCGAGTTAGAAGATGTTTTCCATTACATTCTGCTGTGGCTACTCCAGATTTCTCATCAGCAATGGGGTTGCTTCCATTGATGGGTTTTGTAGTTATTTTTATGAATGGCTCATCATTTGGAAATAGTATTCCCAAAAGTTAAGCACCGATGTTATTGAAAACATAATGTTCTTATTATATCATAATTCCAAGTTATTGCTTCTCATAGTTGCGGTATATTTCATACTTTTGTAGTATATTTCACTCCTGTCTTACTTTAGTCCTTATCTGTACGTGTTTAGGTAATATTCGGACTTGCATCCGAATATCACCTAAAATTAGATCCATGCCGATCGAAAAGTGTTATAATACCTTAATCCATAATTGCCATGGTTTCTCATATATTTCACAAGCAAGGCTTGTGTATAATACTTGCTGGTGTTCGGCACGGTATTGTTTCATGACGATATATTTTTTATAGCAGTTTCATGCATGAACGTAAACCTATAAAAATAATCCATTACATTTGGAGCTTTCATAAACAAACACACGGAAAATCGATTTTGTGAAATATTTCTTTTTTTTTAATAAAATTTTATTACAAGCTGGAACTAATATAATTTGTTAGTTGTTAGATTTCTGGAGTCTGCTTAGGAAATATTAGACTTGATGATTTAATGTTTTTGATAGTTATTTTTATCCGCAGAGTTTGACCTACATACATATATGTTTTTGTATTGACTGGATTCAGCGCCATCCATTTTCTTAATAAAACTTTGCTGTTTTCGGTTTGACTTCTGTTCATTCGGTTTAGATGGAGGAATTTATATTTCTTTTTTGTTATAGGCATAGTCCAAACATTTTATAAAATAAATTTATACATATTTTAAAAAAGTCAATTAATACTTTTTCACCCAGTTAATATGTATAATTTTGGACTATTTTATATAAAACTACATATATGGTTGGTTTTACTAGTATCTCTGTTAATAGTAATGTAATGGCATAAGCAGTGAAGAATATGTCTATTATTAAAATTTATTAACTTCCCGTAGGGTAAGTTATAGTAATCGCAAAAAAATTGAAAATGAAAATTTTTATATATCTTTACGTTTCAGAGGTTTCTGAATATTTTGGGATACCTTAGAAAAAATCGATTTATGTGTGTGTGTGTGTGTGTGCGTAGTATGTATGTGTGTGCGGATACAAATTTTCGTCGACGATTTCGGGAACACGGATGAAGCAATTTGAATAATTTAAAAAACATTTGATCCGTATTGATAAGGAGACGTGCTGATTAGTTTTTGGCGGAGGTAGGTCTAGCCGTTCCGAAGATATGGGGCAAAAAGTGCCAAAAACGGTACCTCAGTTTTTAATAGAACGGAGCGTCCGATTTTAATAATTTTTATAAGGGCAGGTTTAGCGGTTTCGGAGATATAACGAAAAAAGTAAAAAAAAAATGCCATTTGGCGGTCAAAAATGATCATTAGACATATGCACATCAAATTATCAGATATTTTATAGAGACTTTAACAATAAGTATAAATTTTGTTTACATTCCTATGGGTTCCGTACCAATGTTTACCCGTTAGACAGCGACGCGGCGCTTACGCGTTTTATATTTTGTCTCTACGCATTTAAAGCAGTACGATTGCTTTGAAAAAAAGTTCAGATCTTCCAACATATGTCAAAATAAAGAATAAAGATTAAAAAAAAAAAAATTAAATTTTTTTTTTCAATTTTTTTTTTCAAAAAAAAAGTAATTTTTTGTCAAATTTATAGTTTTTCAAAAATCTTATTTTTTCGAAGTAATTTTTTTTCAAAAATGTTAATCGTTTTTAAAAAAAATAGTAATTTTTGGTACGGGAAGTTCCAGCAATTTGCCTTAAGGCACGATGCCCTAATTGCCTTAAGACAGAGTTCCACTTATAGCTAGTTTTACGTTATACCTTAAGAACATATACTATAATAGACTAATTTTATACAATAAACTAATTTGCTGTAATTTTGTATCTATTTTGTATGAATGAGGCTTATAAATAATCAGTCCATTTCGGAGAAGTCATTTTGCAAGAAGTGTGTAAAATTATAAAAATAACAATAAATATAGGTTTCTATTTCAATAGTAACATGTTTGTATCAAAGTATTTTACTGAGTTAGAAAAGAGAATTACGATATGTGTAATTATTTATAAGTTTATTCAATTTATATTTAATATCTCCTGAATATTCTTGTATATATTTTTCAGATATTTATGTAAAGTTTTTGCATATGATATTTTATTTAAATTAATAGGATTTTAAAGCATAGAAAATTCCATACGATATTATTTGCAACATTCTCATAAAATCTTCAAAACATTATTAAAATAATTTTTAATTAAAACAATGAAACTGTTTGAATCGAAAATTCAATCATAATAAGTTGTTAATAAACGGCATCAAATTAAAATGACAGGTTTTATGACGCAAAATTTCTGCTAGCGTTCATTTTTGCCAAAGTAGATAATATTCTAATTCGCGATAATTTTGAATTTATATATATTATTCACATTATTCCATGCATATAAATGACGCCATTATCGTGGCAAATTATGTAATCATTCGCCTCGTTTTAGGGCCATGTACATAGAAACAGGGCTCTTAGAGCTTTTGGAGATTTTTGCAGTGCAGTAGTGGAAATAATAATAATAGTAATTGTGGATTTGCTGAGGAAAGAGGAAAAACCACATTTTTCCAATAGCTTTCTATATTCACAATCTCATAATTTCATGCCTTTCATGTCTAATTCAAGTTTATATTTTAACAAAGTCGTCTGCATTCTTCTTCGTCGTAACCATTCTTTTAACTTCCCGTAGGGTATGTTATAGTAATTGCAAAAAAATAGAAAATAAGAATTTTTATATATCTTTACGTTTCAGAGGTTTTGGAACATTCTGGCATTTCTGAAAAAAATAGATGTATATGTATGTGTGTGCTCGGATACAAATTTTCGTCGACGATTTCGGAAACACGGTTCAACTGATTAGAATGAACGATTTGAAAAAACATTTGATTTCTATTGATAAGGAGATGTGTTAATTAGTTTATCAACAAGGCAGGTCCAGCCGTTTCGACGATAAGTGGTAGAAAGTGAAAAAAATGGCAATTCAGTTTTTGAGAGAACGGAACGTCCGATTTCAATAATTCAAAGATTTTATTTGTATTGACAAAATGAAGAACTAATTAAATTTTTGGAAAGGCAAGTCTAGCTGATTCGTATATGGAGTAAAAAAAGTAAAAAAAAGTCAT